GCTCTGAGCAGTCTCACTTTTAAAGGATACTAACAAATTAAAACATATTCAAGATATTTGAGTCTAGGGAAGGAAACAAAGCAATTCATTCTAAATAATCATAGTTTGGTAACAACATGGAGCAACATAACAGGTGTGTTCAAATATTTAAGAAACTGCCATATAGAAGTAAGATCAATGTTATATAGTTACAGAGACTAGAATGTGGAAGTAAATGGGCACTACATAAATTAGAGAGGCAGATTTCAGTTCAATGTCAGAATATCTCACCATCTAGAAGTAGAAAGGGTTACGTATAGCTCCCTTTCATTGAAGTATGGAAATTTTAAACATTTGGAGTTCATGTAATGACTGTCATACAAAGATTTCTGACTGGATGGGAAGTGGCAAGGGTCACCTCTAACCTTTTACTACCCAAAAGAAAAACTTCTTCTAACTTTCCTGTACTCAGTTAAAATGCAGTAATATTTTAATCAACCATATTATACCTACATTACTCAAAGAAAACACAGAACTTTTTAAAATTTGGTTTCAATCTTCAGTGTAAATTCATAATAATTTGATCAATGCAATGTAAAAGAGGTAAGATGTCTCTCCCTCTACACTCTCAGAGTCTTGGCTGGGCCTAAGAAACTATCATTAGACAGATTAACAAGAGAAAAGCACACAGTCTTACTTAGTAATTTTTACATGTACATGAGCTGACAATAAAAATTAAGACCCAGGCCAGTGCTGTGGCTCAACAGGCTAATCCTCTGCCTTGCGGCGCCGGCACACGGGGTTCTAGTCCTGGTCAGGGCGCCGGATTCTGTCCCGGTTGCCCCTCTTCCAGGCCAGCTCTCTTCTGTGGCCCGGGAGTGCAGTGGAGGATGGCCCAAATGCTTGGGCCCTGCACCCACATGGGAGACCAGGAGAAGCACCTGGCTCCTGGCTTCGGATCAGCAGTGGTCATTGGAGGGTGAACCAACAGAAAAAGGAAGACCTTTCTCTCTCTCACTGTCCACTCTGCCTGTCAAACAAACAAACAAACAAACAAAAAAAACGATTAAGACCCAAAGGTCTGAGGTACTGAAGGTTCAAAGTATGTATACCAGGTTGGAAAGAGAAAAGCACGTCGTGAAGATGTGACAAGACAGAGGGGTTTGGGCTACAGCAGTACATTGTGGGAAACTAACTAGGAATAAAAGGGTTATTTTAATAAAGTCTACATAGAATTCTGTTTCCACTGCCTGCCCCTGGTGACAGGAATGTTTTCCTTCCTCGAGGTATGGGAAGGGATCTTTCATATAGGAGCTTTTTAGAACTCCTGCTTTCAGAAAGAAAAAGAAAGGTCAGAGTGTCTTACATCTACTGCTTTTCAAGGTGCCTTTCACTCAATCCTTAAACTGCAGTAACATATTTGGGGTGGTATATTTTGTTCCCCTACACTGCTTATCAAAACCATACTTAAAAAGAAATCTTAATAGCATATTGATTTAGAAACTATTCCCCTTTGCTTCTGTATACTTTTAATCTGATAACTTTGACTGATAAGGTTTATAATGCAAGGCAGCACATTAGCTTGTTACCCTGTAATTGCATTTAGTATCCAGGAGACTTCATCGTCAGCTCCTTGGATTAAAATACAACAATATTTAGAGACTATACAAGACAGCCTGGAACACTGGTCCTCAACCTGGTTCAGGAGGGAGGGCCTGGAATTTATAATTTATTTTGAAAATAAAATATTGATAACATTAATGTCCATCACTACCATAAAAATATCACTCTGTGCTCTATATGCAATGTAAACCACAACTAAAACGTCATGTTCACAACAACAGCATGTTGAAGCCATCCTTTTAGGTCTCCACCACAGCGCTGTCTTCATTGTCTTCGTTTGGGACCTCTGCACATACTTCTACCACAACAGGTGCGATCAGTTAACTCACAGGCCCAGCCCTCTGAGCTTCTTGAGGATAGCAGCTGTGTTCGCTCTTCTGGCAGATACACTGGTACATAATAAATGCTTACTGAATGACTGCAGTAAACACTGCTGAAAGGCTTTATTATTCACCTACTGTTCTTTTGATTCTTGTTAATTTGTTCATTTAATACCACTAACCTAGCATAAGTTAAAAATCTCTATGAAGGTGTTGGTGCTGTAGTGCCGTGGGTTAATACTCCACCTATGGCGCCATCCCATATGGGTGCTAGTCCCAGCTGCTCCACTTCTGATGCAGCTCTCTGCTATGGCCTGGGAAAGCAGAAGATAGCCCAAGTGCTTGGGCCCCTGCACTCACATAGGGGACCCCGAAGAAGCTCCTGGCTTCCAATCGGCTCAGCTCCGGCCATTGCAGCCATTTAGGAAGTGAACCAGAGGATAGAAGTCCTTTCTCTGTCTCTCCCCGTTTCTGTCTGTAACTTTACCTCTCAAATAAATAAATACAATCTTTAAAAAAAAAAGACTCTATGAAGAAAAATGTAAAATTGTAAAAAGTTTGTTAATATGTATGTAAGTTGGGATATGCCCATTATTTCATATTAACAAAATAGCTCCCTCTAGATCATGGAACAGTAGTGATGCACAGGAACATAACTTGCAAACCACCGGCACTGAATTCAGCAAAGGATAAATATTCAGTCAAGACTTCTCAAAGAACTAGCAGCTAACTACAGTGCTGTATATAATGTACACGACAGACTTTACTAACAAGATAAAAATGTGCTTTCAAAAAAAAACTTGAAGGATTTTCTAAAGAATTGTTATTTTGAAACTCATAAGAGCACCAAGAATTCCAAAAATGCCACATTCTCTAGTGGGTGGTACATCCTCAAACAGTTGATCACTTCTTTTTCTAACAAATGAATTATTGTAGCTCAACTATTCCTCACAAAAATATAAAAGTCAGGAGCTAGTGTTTAACCTAGGGATTAAAATGCCCACATCCCATATCAGAGTACCTAGGGTCGATTCCAAGCTCTGGTTCCTGACTCCAGCTTCCTGCACTAGGAAGCAGTGATGATGGCTCAAGGTTCTGGGTTCCTGCCACTCCCATGGGAGACCTGGACTGTGTTTTAGGTTCCCAGTTTCACCTTTGACCAGCCATAGTCCTTGAGGGCATCTGGAGAGTGAACTAGCAGTTAAGAGCTAGAGTGTACAATCTCAAGATCCTCAGTCTATCAAACTCTCCCCCAGTCATCTTTGGGCCTCTCCCCAGCCCTACAATAGACATTACATCATAAGTAACTGCCCCTCCAATACAAACAAAAAACCCCCAAATTTAAAACACAATGCCTTCATAAGAAGATTAAACAAGAATTGGAAAGCCTGAATTGAAAGTGTTAACAAAGAGGCCTAACTGACAAGTACTGTGGTAATTAGAAAACCTCTCTGAAATTCCTTCCCCATCAAATTTTCTAGCAACTTGACTAACAAAATAGATAATTAATTAATTATATCAAGATACTATTTTAACTGTGAACTGTCCCTACAGATGCTATTTACCTTAGTACTTCTTACCTAAAGTCTAGCTCTGCAACCAGGTATGAGCTGGTTTTTTAGAAATGAATGCCGTTATAACTAACACATGGTGAAAGAATCAGGCCATAGTCATCACTCAGTCTGGAATGCTGGTTTTGGGCTCAAAGAGCTTAATCAGAAAAAAATTATATAAAAAAGAACTACAGGTTAGAGAGTACTTAAGAGATTAAGAACATGAATTTCTAACACCTGTGCATTTACTAATTACAGTTCATATTTAGAAAGAATACATTCGATTTCTCAGAATTCTCTCTGACGTTGCTTGCCTTTTTGGGAAAAGGAAGTGTGTTAGTATTTAGATATGAAGCAATAAGTAGCTAAAGAAAGCTCACTTGCACCAAATGACAAAGCATTAACAAACTTTTGAAACGAACCACTGTATTTTGGAGGTAAAACAGTCAAAAACTGAAGCCGAGCAGTTAAGACATTAGAAGAGAAAAACACATTCTGCTTTTGAGCTCTGAATACAGAAAAGCCTTGCTTCTCAGAGGGGTGGCTTCAATACAGATAATTAATTCAGCCTCCTTGGTCTGGGGCAGCTCATGCCCCAGTCCAAAGACTGAAAGGATGGAGCTCATTTTATAGCAAGAAGAATGGAGGGGGGAGTGGAAACATGTGGCTTTGGGCTGAAGAGATACGAATCATAAACAGCTGAAACCGTTAGAGCAGCTTTTAAATACGCCAGAGGAAAGCAATATATCATCTGCCAGCTTGAAATAGGGCAGGCTCAGACTATGGAAGGGCACTCCACTTAATAAGGGGCTTGGGGACAAATGAATAACAAATCCACAACTACGAACAAGAGACAAATAACTCAAGAAAGCATTTCAAGAGCTAACACGGAGGGCTCCTTTGGCTTATAAAATCATTACAATTATTATCAGCAGGGAAACTTTTTTTCCCTCAGGTGGGCCTCAGGGTAGCAGCTATTTAGACCAGCAAAGGCCTCTGGGAAGGTAGCAGCCCGCGCTGATTCAGCAATGTGGGGCTGGCCAGGCAGAGCGACAGGCCCCTCTGAGCTAACACCCAGGCACGGGGCTTCTCCTGTGGAGTGTCCCACCCTCGGCCACCCGGTTGTCATTCTTCATCATCGCCTCAGCGCCACCAAAAAGCGCACCTGGACTCTTAACAAAACAGCCAAGTCCGGTGGCCAACGGGCTGCACCGGCGGCAATATTCAAAAACCGGTCTGGATTCACGAAGGAAACACTCACTCTTGGTCCCCCAGAACCATCCTCAAAACTGGGTAAGCCACTTCCACCCCCACCCCCGGCAACTGGTAACCGCCAGATCGGAGACGGACGTCCACTGCAGCCCCACACCCTAAGCCGAGGCCTGGGAAGACCTGCGGGGCCAGGCCTCTCTCTCCTATAAAGCCCGGCTCGACCGTCGAGGCCTGGCCGGGTTTCTACTCTCAGCTTGAGGGTCGTGGAGCACCTAGGAAGGGACACAGCGAAAAAACAGCCTGCCGAGCTCACCCCAAGTTCAAGGCATCGCGCTCCCGGCGGCGCCAGCCGCTCAGACCCGCAGGCGCCGGCGGCTCGGTCGGCGACTCTGTCGCACTTCGGTGACGTAACCACGCCCCGCGGCGCGTTGCTTGGAAACGGGGACCCAGCCTTTCTCCTCGGCGCTCCGCCCAGACGCTCGCGCTCCGCCCTCACCTGGCGACGAGGTAGGCGCAGCCGGGAAGCCGGGTGAGAGCTGAGGGCTGGTGGCTATCGTGTGGGATGGTGGCCTGCCAAATGGCAGTTGGAGAGACCTTGTTCGGCGGGCTCCTCGAGGCAGGAGCTGCGTGGGGTGGCCGTGGAGAAGGCCTGCCCTCTCCCGCCTCTCCTGGCGCCATCTCCTGAGCGTCTAGCTGGTGGCCGCGGGTGCAGAGGGAAGCTGCGGGTTTGTCAAGGTCTGGGTTCCAAGCCACGGCTTACTAGGCATCCAACCTCCCACTGATGATTTTGTTTCGTTGTCATCAAGCGAGGCTCATTGCACTGTCTTAGCTGGACTGTTAAGCATAAAAGAGAATACATAGAAAGTTAAGTAGCACAGGGTCCAAGATGGTAAGTTTTAACGTGTGGTAGTTCTGATTATTATGAATACAAGTTGGCGGTATTGTTGCTTTTCACGGTATCTTAATAATTGGCATCTAGCATCTGTTGTGTGCCAAGTACTGCTTCATACACCTTACAGGTATCCTTCGCTCAGAGTTACCCATCCAGTAAACACTTATGCTTTTCAAAAAACTGTTACGCTGAAACGCTTGGAGAAAATATCTGTAGAACTATACACTGGAAATGGACTTCCAATTAAAATATATATATATGTAACCCTCATAACTTGATAGGAATTCAATCCAGTTTTTAAAATGGGCCAAGGATTTTAAAATATAAGCATGTGAAATGATGGGCAGCATCATTAGTCATTAGGAAAATGCAAATCATCACATAAGGAGCTAGCCTTGTGGCATAACAGGTAAAGCAGCTCCCTGTGGCACCAGCATCCCATCTGGACACCTGTTTCAGTTCTGGCGGCTCTGTTTCTGATCCAGCTCTCTGCTAATGGCCTGGGAAAAGCAGTGGAAGATGGCTCAAGTTTCTGGGCCCCTGCCACCCACATGGGGGACCTGGATGAAGCTCCTGGCTCCTGCCTGTGGCCTGGCCCAGCCCCTGCCCCTGTGGCCATCTCTGGGGTGAACCAGTGGAGGGAAGATCGCTCCCTCTCTGAAGCTCCACCCAGGTCTTCCACGTAGGTGTAGAGAGTCAAGTATTTGAGCCATAATCTTCTTCCTGGGTATCCATTTTCAGGAAGCTAGATGGAATGAGAGGAGCCAAGACTTGAACCAGGCTTAACTGTCTTGACTGCTGTGCTAAATTCCTGCCCCTGGCCATTTCTGTAAAACCTGAATACATGTCTACCACAGTATCCAGCGCATCCACTCCCGCTATTTAGTGAAGTGAAAGGAAAGCATATGTGTACACGAATATTCATAGCATTATTTGTAATAGGCTCAAATGGGAAACAGTCCAAAAACTCATCACATCTTTTCCTTGTCAATGGAAAGCAAAGTGTAGTTTTTATCCACACAATAAAATATTATTCAGTAATATAAAAGGAACTGAACAACAACATGAGTCAAGCTAAAGTAATTATTCTTAGTGAAAGAAGCTAGACCAAGACAAAACAAAAGCTGTCTGATGACATTTCAGGTTGTAGAAAATCAGACTAATCTGTAGTGATGAAAAGCAGATCAGTGAATGCCTAGGTGTGGGGCACACAAAGAATGGGTGGATGGAGATGGGTGGCAGAGTGGTAGCTCAGTCCAGGTTTCCCACTTGGGTGGCAGCAGCCCAATGACTTGAGCCATCACACATTAGCAGAGTGCACAGTAGCAGAAAGCTGGGTTAGGCAGCAGAGCGGGACTTGAACCCAGGCATTGCAGTACAGGGTGCAGATGTCTTGACTGCTATGCCAAATGCCCACCTGGAGGAAACTTGAGAGCAATGGGTATATTCATTTTCTTGACTGCAGGTAGTGGTTTTTACGGCTTTGTGTGTGTATTTCTCAAGTTGTGCAACTTGGTCACATGCAGTTTGTTGTATGGAAATTATACCACAGCTAATTACATTTTTTTAAAGATTTATTTATTTGAAAGAGTTATAGAGAGAGCCAGAGCGGGAGTGAGAGAGGTCTTCCATCCGCTGGTTCACTCCCCAAATGACCACAGCGGCCAGGGCTGAGCTGATCTGAAGCCAGGAGCCAGGAGCTTCTTCCAGGTCTCCCACGCAGGTACAGGGCCCAAGGACTTGGGCCATCTTCCACTGCTTTCCCAGGCCACAGCAGAGAGCTGGATCAGAAGTGGAGCAGCCGGGACTTGAACCGGTGCCCATATGGGATGCTGGCACTGCAGACCAGGGCTTTAACCCACTGTGCCACAGCACTGGCCCTACTAATTACATTTTTTTTTTTAAAAAAGATTTATTTATTTACTTAAGAGTTACACAGAGAGGAGAGGCAGAGAGAGAGAGAGAGAGAGAGAGGGAGGGAGGGAGGGAGGGGTGTCTTCCATCCGATGGTTTACTCCCCAATTGGCCGCAACGGCTGGAGCTGTGCCAGTCTGAAGCCAGGAGCCAGAAGTTTCTTCTGGGTCTCCCATGCGGTGCAGGGGCACAAAGTCTTGGGCCATCTTCTACTGCTTTCTCAGGCCATAGCAGAGAGCTGGATTGGAAGTGGAGCAGAAAGGTCTCTAACTGGCGCCCATATGGGATGCCGGTGCTTCAGGCCAGGGCGTTAACCCGCTGTGCCACAGTGCCGGGCCCCTCTCTCTCTGCCCCCC